GATAATTGATGATAATGATGATGGATCATGATGATTTTGATGATGAGGAGGAGGGGGACTAGGAAATGGAGGAGCAGCAGACATTATGATCAGTGTGGTAATAAGGGAACATAATATTGATAATATCAATTGTAATTAAATCATTCAAAGACTGTATGTATACTTTATCTCCACAGGTGAACAAGGTACAGCAAAGACTGTTATGATACAAAGTTACTGCCTAAAGTATGATCCTGAAGTACATCTAACGAAGAGTCTAAACTTCTCGTCTGCCACTACGCCAAATATGTATCAGGTAAGTCACCTGGCTTAATTCTAATAGTAACAGTAGATTTTTTCGCAATACTGGATAGTCATACTAGTTCATTGTTGCATTGCATGACTCAAAATGTTTATTGTATACCGGTATGCAAAATGTAGACCTTGGCAATAGTACAATAGTTAGTGTGTTGGCCTTGCAGCAGGGATGTTCTAGGTTGGATTCTTGGAGTCGATTGGTCAATCTGCAGTACAAGTCTGAGTGCAGTCTGCCCTGCATTACAAACCTATGGTATTAGGTTTTGGAGTCTGGTTTGCACACATGTATTTGAACACATGCAGTGACTATAAGAGAGGCAGGGGAGACAGAAATGATGTTAATGTCCGAAAATGTCACCTGGATCAAAAATATATAACATAAAAAAAATATACCAACTGTAACATGTATATTATTTGATTTATGTTGAGATAATTTTAATTTTTACTAATTACTAATGTGCAATGATATCGTTCAATTAATGCTGTTATATTCTTGGTTTCAGCGTACCGTTGAAAGCTATGTTGACAAACGTGTTGGTACAACATTCGGCCCTCCAGCAGGTAAACACATGACTGTGTTTATTGATGATATCAACATGCCGATTATCAATGAATGGGGTGACCAGATCACCAACGAAATTGTGCGTCAACTGATGGAGATGCGAGGTTTCTATAACCTTGAAAAACCTGGTGAATTCACGAACATAGTAGATATCCAATACATGGCTGCTATGATTCAACCAGGCGGCGGTAGAAACGACATACCGCAACGTCTGAAGAGACATTATTCCATCTTCAACTGCACACTGCCCGCCAATGCCTCCATTGATAAAATCTTTGGCACAATTGGGACCGGACATTTCTGTACAGTAAGTCACAGATTCGTTTGTTAATTCTTGCCTCACCCAATCGGAGATCTGTATGTAATATGGTTGTAGGTAGACTGACATTTCTGTACAGTAAGTCACAGATTCGTTTGTTAATTCTTGCCTCACCCAATCTGAGATCTGCATGTAATATGGTTGTAGGTAGACTGACATTTCTGTACAGTAAGTCACAGATTCGTTTGTTAATTCTTGCCTCACCCAATCTGAGATCTGCATGTAATATGGTTGTAGGTAGACTGACATTTCTGTACAGTAAGTCACAGATTCGTTTGTTAATTCTTGCCTCACCCAATCTGAGATCTGCATGTAATATGGTTGTAGGTAGACTGACATTTCTGTACAGTAAGTCACAGATTCGTTTGTTAATTCTTGCCTCACCCAATCTGAGATCTGCATGTAATATTGTTGTAGGGAGACTGACATTTCTGTACAGTAAGTCAAAGATTCGTTTGTTAATTCTTGCCTCACCCAATCTGAGTTCTGTATGTAATATGGTTGTAGGGAGACTGACATTTCTGTACAGTAAGTCACAGATTCGTTTGTTAATTCTTGCCTCACCCAATCTGAGATCTGCATGTAATATGGTTGTAGGGAGACTGACATTTCTGTACAGTAAGTCAAAGATTCGTTTGTTAATTTTTGTCTCACCCAATCTGAGATCTGCATGTAATATGGTTGTAGGTACACTGACATTGATGAACTGACCATGAAAGTTAATTGTTGAGGAACTCTGGTGATAAAATCTAATGTAAAATCATTTATTTTCACTGGAATTTAATTTTACTATTTTGATGTTTTGAACAATTCACTGGGCGTTAAGTCCACAAACAATGGCAGATAAACAGTTAAATTGTTATTTTAATTTAAAACCTAGTAAAAAAACTGCACCATAAAATCTGCTAAAACAAGTGATATTCCCTCTTCTCTACAGTACTTTAGTCTATTGAGTTAACATTTATTCTAGAAATTTTTCTTTCCTTAATCGCTGTGTCAATGTAATATTTGATAGATTAAAAGTATGAATGAAGTTTATAGTCACATATTATTACATTAAAAATTCAATATATATTTATCATATATCAACTCCTTTCATTGTCTATTTTCAGGAGCGCAGTTTCAGCGAGGATGTCTGCGAGCTGGCTAGTAAATTAGTATCATGTACTCGTAGGTTGTGGCAGCGTACTAAAATCAAGATGTTACCCACACCAGCCAAATTTCATTATGTCTTCAACTTGAGAGATTTGAGCAGAATCTGGCAGGTAAAACTTGATATACGACTAGCTGCTATTGGGTAATAGCAAGGTGAAAACTAGAATGTGTGCAAAATTGCAAACAAAAATATGTGAGACACAAACAGTATGTATGAGGTACGAGTTTTCAAACTGACATGCAAAGGTACGAGTTTTCAAATTGACGTGCAAAGGTACGAGTTTTCAAACTGACAAGCAAAAGTACGAGTTTTGAAACTGACGTGCAACATTCTTGATATGTTGTATGCATGATACGATTGTTATTATGCAGGTCATGATTCAATTTTATGTGAATCAGAACGTCTCTGAATACGCCTATATTAATTTGATATTTGTTTCTATTGTATTCTAGGGTATGTTAAACACCAACCATGAAGTCGTGGTTGACACATCGATTCTGATGGCCCTATGGAAGCACGAGTGTACTCGTGTGGTTGCTGACAGATTCACGAACCAAGAAGACAAAGATTGGTTTGAAAAAAATATTATCAAGGTATTCAATTGACAGAGTGTGTTATTTGTTTTTCTGTTTGTTAAGCTGAATGTCAAAGTGAACTTTTGTCAACTTGTCAGAGTTTTTTAGTAAAAAATGAACGTCAAGACTTGTAATTAAAAAAGTTGTGTCCATTTGGTCCAACATTAAATTAGGCGATTTAGAAATATACCTAAAATTAAGCACAATGTTTTCTCAACATTTTCATGGAAACAAATATGGTTTTTAAATTGTCAAATTTAACAACTTGAGTAGAACATGCCTGACATCATAACAGTAATATTATATATCATGTAATGCATAGACTGCTTTTTACTCTTTATGTTATTTATTTCACTTTTGTATAATATCGTTTTTGTTTTTAGCTTGCTGAGGAGGATCTTGGAACTGCTTTTGCAGAACAAATGGCCAAAGAACCCTATTTTGTAGACTTTCTACAGGATGCTCCCGAAGCCACAGGTATGTTTCTTAGGTTATTCTCCATTTGAGCATTTCTGCCACTTGTAAAAATAAGTTTGATTCACAAAATCTCCGTGTTTTTGTTAGTGTAAAAATTTTTAGGCAAATCTGGTAAATTATAAGTCAAATCAAATTAAATCAAATCATAGGCTTAGCACAAACATTAATAGGTTGCAAGATCAATAAAACATGACCCGATTTGTTGATATGCGTTTAATACTTCCAATGGTGGTTTTATGGCAAATAGGAGCAATGAAAGTAATACAAAAATTTCATAAAGTGAAAATTTGTTCAACTATTTAAAACCATATACCCACTGTATACTGTAAGCCGTTTAATTTTCACTGATAGTAATTATTACAGTTGATGTTTTTATGGCATTGGTGAAGAAAACAAATTAGCAAAAATCACTGTCATTGCATGTTGTAGAATCCATGAGAAATTTTCACCGCTACAAAATTTTACACTGTCTCATGCGAAACTAAAGCAGTTTATAGTAAGGATCAATTAAGCCAGCAGACCAGAAACAGGATTTGAATTATTCTATGAATAAATTATTGTTAAACTATTATTTTAACATTGTAAAATCAGTGGAGGAATTAGCCGCACGTGGCAAAGGTAAAATAGGACATTACTTAATGTAGCTCTCCTGCCTGCAATGATATCCATTTTATACACAACTGAGTTTCTTTTTTTTGAGTTGTATGACAATATTCTATGGTGTGTGTGGTTTACATTGTACCTTTTTGCATGGTCTGCATTTCTCTACTACTTTCACAAATTTTGGAGTGATCTATTGGCTTAGTGTGATTTGTATCATTTTCTACTATCCCCTTGTTTTCCCATGTGTGGGTTGTACCATTTTTCTACTGGAAATAATCCATCCCATTGTTTTCCCATGTGTAGGTTGTACCATTTTCTACTGGGAATAAACCGTCGCCTTGTTTTCCCATGTGTGGGTTGTACCATTTTCTACTGAGATTAAACCATCTTCTTGTTTTACCATGTGTGGGTTGTACCGTTTTATACTGGGAATACACAAGCCCCATGTTTTTTCCTTTGTGTGTGTTTTACCGTTTTATACAGGGAATACACCAGCCCCATGTTTTTCCCCTTGTGTGGGTTTTACCGTTTTATACAGGGAATACACCAGCCCCATGTTTTTTCCTTTGTGCGTGTTTTACCGTTTTATACAGGGTATACACCAGCCCCATGTTTTTTCCTTTGTGTGGGTTTTACCGTTTTATACTGGGAATACACCAGCCCCATGTTTTTCCCCTTGTGTGGGTTTTACCATTTTATACTGGGAATACACCAGCCCCATGTTTTTCCCCTTGTGTGGGTTTTACCGTTTTATACTGGGAATACACCAGCCCCATGTTTTTCCCCTTGTTTTACATGGAGGTATGGTTTTACCAAGTGAAATTAAATCAATACATCACATTAACATTTCTTATTTCTGCACTACCATTCATCTAATGATATGCAAGCTAACCATGCTTTTCTGTGCCATTTTTAATCTCTAAACTATCTTTCTACCTATCTTCTATCGACTTAATCTGTTTGGTGAGTTCTTGGCTTCAGTCTTGCAGCACTTTGTTTGAAAATACACTAATGCCCTCCCTCCCTGAGTTGACTAATTTCTGTTTTTGAATTTCTGAGTGCTAAATGTTTCATATTCATGAATCTATCATTTGTGCAAAAACGTAGTATTAGTGTATAATTGCCATAACTGCTGCATGAATACATTCCCATAAAGTTTGTCTTTTTTCCCAGAAAACAGTAGTACTCGTATTTGCATGTTTCATATATACTTACAAAATTGTCTCACTTCCTGAATTTCCCACATCTAAAACATTCAAAAACTTACTATTTTCAGAATTGTGATTATCATTACATGCTACTGCTGTTACTTGAATATTTTTACATGCATCCTTCAATCTCATGCTATAACTGTATTCAATACTAAAACATAACTGTCATCTACTCACTATGCTTACTGTACCATTTTTCATTTCTATCGTGCACTCTTCATCTCTCACCCAAATGCACACTGACATCATAAACCGCTTTGGTGAGTTTTTTGAGACCAACTCTATGTCATGCGAATATATTTCTATGCATCATATATTATGTAATCCCTCCCTTTTTGTTTTTTTAAATGCCCACCTAGGTAGACCAACCAGTTTGTATCTGCATAACTTCTTCCCTGCCCTGCCCAGTTCCTCACCCATTCATTAAAAAATCAGATATATGTTTCCAATGTGTCATTTACCAAGCATTCATCTTCATTTAGGCTGGAAAGTCTGTCAAGACTGAAAATTCACAGAATCAAAGCATAGTAAATACACTGTCTTTAGATGTCCCATATAATATGGTTTGGTTATGGAGATTGTTAACCACGGAATAGCAAATTTTTAAGCTAGATTTCTTATTCTGAAATTCCATCTGGTTTCAACTGGTACAGTGACAGTCAAGAGCAGATACAAATGGAAATGATTATCCGCCTCTCCCCAATAGTTTCCTGACCTACTTAAATACGAGTTACAAGTGTGCAATATAGTGACATCAAGATGCATATTCAAATACATTAATTGCCATCTTCATTTCTTAGATTTTCACTATTCTGTTTTTTGTGGAAATTTTCTATATATTTATTAGCTTTTCATTATAAGTGTCTCAACTTTTCCATTTATTGGCAATTTTTCTCACAACCCAGATGGTCATATATCATCAGTTGATTCCTGACTTTAAAGTATAAGCATAATCACATTGTTTGAGAGAAGTTAATCATCACAGTGTTTATTATGGGTTATTATGGAGCTGTAGTTTGATATTGGTTATCTGAAGCAGCATTCTTTTGTGTGTTACAATATCATTTCAAAAACTCTAGAACAATACCATAGAGCATATTGTTAATGAAAATTGCCTTTTTTTAAATAATGCATGTTAACAAAAATGACTAAATCAGTCACGATATATAATTTCGTCTCTATTTCTCAAAGAACTCTTAGGAAGGAGTGGTTTACAGCATTATGACAAAATAGCCGCCTTTCAATAAAATTCAACTTTTTATTCCATGGAAAAAAGGATGATGACTTTATCTTTATATTGACTGGGGTTAATTTATTACAAAATGAATAAATTCACAGTATTTTCATTTATAACTGGGCTTCTACTTTAATAAACTTATGAGAAAAGCTATATTTTCCATCACATTTTTTTTTTCAAACTGATCTAAACACAGAAAGGTATAGTATCCCTGCTTGTTGAAGAAGCTATTAATGTCTGTTGATTATTAGAAAAAGATATGATATGTGCTCCTTTTTTTTCTCTCCAGGTGATGAACCAGATGACGCAGATCTAGAAGCACCAAAGATATATGAACCAATCTCCTCGTATGAGCAGCTTGAAGACCGACTAATTAATTTCATGGCATTGTATAATGAAACAATCCGAGGTGCTAATATGGATTTGGTTTTCTTCAAAGATGCCATGGTCCATTTAGTGAAAATCTCCCGTATTATTCGTACTGCACGAGGCAACGCTCTGCTTGTCGGTGTTGGTGGTTCTGGTAAACAGAGTTTAACCAGACTGGCCACTTTTATTGCTGGATATAAGAGTTTCCAAATCACCTTATCCAGGTATTATTGACATTTCTTTTGTTCATATTTATATACAACAACATCAAGGCTAATTTAGGTAAATCCATTGATGTTCAGAAAAGGTTGTTATGGTCCGATAGTATGCATTTAATTCTTCTTAGTACATGAAAGTATATACACCAACTTGGCAGGAAACAAATTCTTCACTTGATGCTGAAAAATTAAAATTTACAAAGTTTTCAGATGTCATAATTTGAGACAGTTTATGAAAGCTAAAATCAACAAAAGCCACAGAAACAATTTTTGGAATTAACCAACTGGCAAATTGCATGAAAAGTAATATTGAAGTGGTGTACTGTATACGCTTCATGTCATGAAGGTCAACAACCTAAATAACTTTGTAATTTATGTACTTTTGAATTGTACCCATCAGCTCGGGTTAATTTGATTTATTCAGTCAGGTGACTATATGTGCAAGTCAGGTGATTATGTATGTCAAGTCAAGTGACTATATATGCAAGTCAGGTGATTATGTATGTCAAGTCAGGTGACTATATATGCAAGTCAGGTGATTATGTATGTCAAGTCAGGTGATTATGTATGTCAAGTCAGGTGACTATATATGCAAGTCAGGTGATTATGTATGTCAAGTCAGGTGAATATATATGCAAGTCAGTTGATTATGTATGTCAAGTCAGGTGAATATATATGCAAGTCAGTTGATTACGTATGTCAAGTCAGGTGACTATATATGCAAGTCAGGTGATTATGTATGTCAAGTCAGGAGACTATATATGCAAGTCAGTTGATTATGTATGTCAAGTCAGGTGACTATATATGCAAGTCAGTTGATTATGTATGTCAAGTCAGGTGATTATATATGC